ACCGTCATGCGGTCGAGATGGACTTCAATGGTCGTTCAAGTGCGGGGTGGGCATCTGGCCATCTCTGCGTGTGCTCTCTCCTACCAATCGCCCAGGGGCATATGCTGACCTTAAACGAAGAGCAAATCCCGAAGCCACCTCCCCAAATGACCATGCACGTTTTCAGGCTTTGGCTTGAAGACGTGAGGGCCCCATTTAAAGACGCCGACTGGGAAAAAGTTCGGCGTGGGCATGGGCAGGGCGAAGATGTGTGCGACTCATGGGATGGCGCCGTTGGTCAATAGGCGTCTCAAGTACACAACGATACTTGGAAAACGGTTCCAGATCTGACCAGTGGGCTCAGTGGAGACCACTTGGAAACAGTTGGGCAACCGTGGTCCGACAGAGCACAATGACTACCGATTCCTCCCTTTGTCGTAGTACTTTCCATTGTCTAGAGCACCGGTGCCCAGTACCCGACCGCTGTCGACTTGGGTAATCTACTAAGACGTCATTTTCCGCGTAATGCACTAGAAGCTTCCCAAAATTCACCTTGGGAAGCTTCTCGTCTACCCGACCTTCAGAACGGACAATGTCCCCTTTGAAACTCAATGGGACAAGCTGGGATTGTGTATCGAGTATCACTAAAATCTGAATTCCATTACTTTGTATCGGCCTTTTTCATCAGGCCCACGTCTTATTCTCAAAATAGGCAGAAGAGAGAGACCCTCGATGAGGGAAAATTTCACCTGCGCCCAGAGTGATTCCCGGGCTCCACATGATTGTGGCACGGGGAGAAGCGTGACCTCCTAGGTAGCATCTAGTTCCATACGAGGCAACGCCATGGACGAACCAGATGGCATTACGTCGAGTGGGTACTTTTTCTTTGTTTTACTGACCTGCGTCTAATGGGTTTCTAGGCCACGGTGAGCGGCACGCTCAATTAAGGTTTGTTGGGGCTTTCTTAGTTCCTGCCCCACCGGTGAGGTTTTCTTGCTCGCTATTCAGGGGTATAAGCCTTGTAGTGGGTTTTTTCTTGTTTAATTCTCGCATATTTCTCAGCTTCGAGGCGTCGACACAGATCTCGTGTGATTGCGCTATTTGTGGTCTTGGAAACACTGCGCTTGCGAGGGAGTGAAGAATCAAACGTGACCTTCCGGATTACTCTATGGATGGATAAGGCCAGAACGAAAGGGTCAAATCTCCATGTTGGGGTGGAGAACCGCTGAATGTCTCCAGGCAATCTGGCCGACCAGAACCGGTAGCCATGGTAAACTGAGGGTAACGGTGGGCAACATCCTGGCTGGTACCGTGTGCTCAAGACAGAATATCTCAGTCATCGAGAGCCTGTCGGTTAGGAGAACAGAGAAAGTTATCGCTGTGTTTTGCCATGGTGGATACTGCTATCTTGAGGGCCAGGCGGTTGTGCTCGTAGCGATAGAAATGCCCGACTCTGTACTCTCTGAGTTTAATCACATACTATCATGAGTAGTCATGTTGCTTTCAGCTATGATAGTCCGTGCTATTACAGCACCTGTGTTATCGACTTCTACATACATCACCTGCGTTGCTTCTAATTCGGGTCATATTCTTGCTTCAGACAGTGAAGTCCATGCATAGCGGGCTCGGTCAGATAAGAGAATGTTGCGTTGACTGTTGATGATTGATGAATTTCTGACCACAAGACGCGAGCCCTGTCATAATCGACCGTGATTCTGTGCCTTGACCTGCTACAGTACCGAGATTAGGTTAGCTCAGCTAGATGGCCGGGCGTTTGAGGAAAGCTCTTGTTGGAAGCCTCTGTTCTCGGAAGCACCGTCAAACGTTGACCTGGGTTATATCAACGAGATTGATGCGCGGGTTTTCCATGGAGGCAATAATCAACCTCCAATCTCTCCTCATCTCAAGTGACTCGGCAAAGTATGATGTTCAGTCGGAGGATGAGTCCATTCAATTGGGTGATAGCAGTGCACAATAGGCCCTCGAAGAATGTCTGTCTGAAGAGTGCCTGTCTGGTAGCTGGGTGAAAGACCTCGCACCAACAAGGTCCTCTACCCAGGCTCTGTGCAAAGCAGAGCCCGGTTGGGTCAGAAAAGGGAGGTATATGGTTCGAACAAGGTGCAAATTTCTAAAGATGACCAGCGAGGGCTGTGCTTGACTGAAACCACGGCTTCCCTGCTGGTACGCGAACGGTCGAGTGGAGAGACAAAATTGCCCGTTCGTTTCGACGAATTTTCACCGGGTAGCGAAAACTTGAATACCCCAGATCTGCTCTGTCACTCTACTTGCATCATCATACGGCATCACGCTTAGTTGGAATCGACGAACTTGTAGGTGACCGTCTGTTTCTCATCCAAAATGTGGTGGGCCCTTTGAGATGCCGGATCGCGGTCTACTATAATTCGTGCCTGGGGATCTGGATGTCCTGCAGACCAAGGGAAAGGGCAAGTGGAGCCGGTGGAAAAGTGGTGAAAAACTCCACCGGGTGGGCAAGATCAGGTTTTCCATTCAACCGTTTTCTTTAGAACGGGTACGTGCCATGAGAAGTTGCGGGACATTGATATGTGCGAAATTGCCCGGCTAGTATGGTGTTCCTAATCAGGTATAGAGCATCACGCTTGGCATGGAAGTGCGCGGTCTATAAAGTCACCTTCATAGACCCATCAACGGCAGCCAGCTTTCGTGCGATAGTGTCCCGTCCTCTAACCATCCTTTTTCTCGAAGTATTGTAAGGGATTTCCATAGGTGTGACTTTTCATTTCCTACGCTTCCCTAGTCCTCTTACTGGAGTGAGAAGGCTGACCCGGTTTGAGGCCGAGTCGACACCTCCAGGCCCAGTGAGGATAAGGCATTGTTGGGGCAGGAGATATTTCAACAGTACACCCGAGCCTTACTCACAGATACTAGTCTGCTTGAGTGGGAGTTGCAGCAAGCCTGCGTACCCACCAAATGACAACAAGAGCTCGTTCTGACTTGTTGCCACGAGCTACGGTTTAGGAGGTGCTTCTACAGGTAAGCGACCAATTTTTACAGATTTTTGGCTCCTTATTAGATTGGGCAGGATGCATCCTCCGCGATTCCGGCCGGGAACATATTCGGTTTCATCTCCCGAGATTTGCGTATGGAATTCCTACTGCACCGCTTCTTCTCCACCGCTTCTGCAACGGCATGCTCATGTTCTCTCCGGGAATCTGTGTATACCAGCCCGGACCTCTTCTTCCGTTGTCCAGGCGAATTCGTGTGTTCGTCGTGCAATCTGCCGTTGAATTGTGAGTCCAAATACCTGCCCGAAGTAGGCAGAAATTTTCAGCTTATCGGTTTCGGAGACGCCGACTTTAGAGGGACATCCAATTCGGAGTCGCCTCACTGCCTTCAGCTCGGCTCCGTCGTTTGACGGGAAGCGGGAGAGTAATTTCGGGTAAATGCAGACCAGTGTTTCTCCTAACAATCACGTGTGATAGGATGCGTCTCCGCTTTTCGCGTGTCCACCTCAACTACGGTCCCAATACCCAGACTTGCTAATTTTCGAAGCATGTTGGAGAAGGAAATGGACTGATTGTTTGCCTCGTCGTTGTGCGCTCTGCCCTTGGAGATGATCACGGCACTCACCCAGATGCTATGGATATGGCCGTTGAACACAAGTAATCTGGTGAGCCAGAGGAACGAAATGATGATACGTGTTTCTTGCAATCGATATCCAAGTGGGAGTGCGGTTGTGGTTTGCTCGAGAAGCCAAAAACATCGCTGACCGCTCCTATAGGACGATTTCTGTACTGCCAAAGGCAATCCTGAACCTCTGCTGCACGGTCCCGATAAGGTGGGACATCCTTGGCGAATATAGCCGATAGATGGACGATATAATCTGGACGTCTACTCCGCGCAAGTTGGCGAGAAATATGGGCGAAGCTGTCCTCCAGCGCCCAGAACACCCATCATCTACTATGACAATACGACTCTAACAAAACGGCCAAATCATGTATTGCAATTCTAGCTACCAATGGCCTCTATCACGAGAGCAATTGGTAGGCGTCTCCGGTCTGTCCCCTTTTGATGGTCATCCACTGACAAGAGAGACGTCACACTACTCGGGACCCCAAGCGATAGCATGGAACGAATTAGCTCTCAAATGTATCGGCGAGATGAAGTACTTGTCGGCAAGTCCACAGCAAGGAGGCACCCTCGCGGTGTATTTAAAATAGAGAGGGAAGTACGGACTTTTCACTTGTCGACGAGCTCCGTTGGGTACTAACTGCATAGTGTTGAACTCTCAAAGGCTAGATTATACAGTAGCGTCGTTACGCAAATCAGTAGTCAATGAGAGAGGTAAGCCAACTCACTGTGTTTGGAAAGCGTACTTGCTCACTAACTTCCTGGTTGTACAATTTCATCTCAGCAAGATCGTACAATGGAAGCATCCTCTACAGTACCTATATAAACGGATGGTGAGTATCGAGAGTGATGCAATTGAAATAGTTGACTCCACTTGTTAAGGATTGGAAGGGGGATCGAACTTTTCTGATTACTACATAGCAAATTTAGGTTTCTTCAAACCAGCGCATTTTGCGGGGACAAATGAGCCTAAACCGACGTGTAGGCCTGAGGCATCTATGAACTCCGGCCGAAGGGGTGAGTAAGCTGGTAAACAACCCGACACGCAATTCTCTCCCGACTCTATTCCCCGCGCCGGATAGAGCCTCCTCCCCTGTTGAGTTGCTTTCGCTCGATTATCGGCCGAGCAACTCTTTCGAAACGGGATGGAGGAAACAATAGCCGAATTACGACGTCAGATTGAAGAACGACAAAGGCTGCGAGAAGCGGCAGAGCGCCGTGAGGAGGAGGAGAGAAAGGCGCGAGAAGACGCTGAACGTCGAGTGCAACCCAACTCCCTGTTTCGCCTCCTCGATCGCTGCCACAGTTCTCTCTCCCAAGCGATCCGAGTTGAGGCAGATGCCACCCTTACTACTCAGGGCGACGCGGCGATCCAGTGAACCGACTCTACCCCAAGCACATCGTCCCTTGGCGTGACTTCCCCCAACTACAGGAACTGATCTGGGACAAATTCGACCGTAATAATGCCTTTACCACGCGCCCACTATTCCCCTCTGATACCCAAATCGATTATGTCGTCACGAATATCCAGAACAGACCAATCTTTTCGGAAGCGTCTCTTCGGAATTTTGAGCGAGACACGGTGGACAACTTTGTTGAAAAGGTCATTGAGGTTTTGCGAGACGATGAACCCCTTCGAGATGAGTTTGGAATCCAAGGCCGAGTCACCTTCTATGATCGCGCAAACCCGTCGGAAACTATGCTCGAGAACAGCCTAGAGCAAATGAATCTCGAGGACGCGCAGACACCCCAACGACCGGCGAACACGAGGCTTGGAAGAGGCCCAGGACGAGGAAGAGGAGCCACGCGGAGACAGACGAGGGATGGCACTGCGCGACGACGCAATCGGCGCGCCGACCAGTATTGCGTGCACCTTGTGGCGGATGAACGGCAATACCTGGGTATGCAGTGGAGTTCGAAGCGCCACACAAAGTGACCATCCCCGAACTGGTGGCGGGTCTACACCCGATAGATCTGGATCGCGATGTCATTGACCAAGAGGGCGACACGTTTGGTTTTTATGCCACCCGCCTGGTCGCGGTCGTGGTCACTCAGATATTCTCATACATGATCGACAGTGGCGTTCGATACGGCTACATCTGCACCGGGGAGGCTTTCGTTTTCCTTCACATCCCAAAGGATGACCCCACCATTATTCAATATTTCTTGTGTATCCCGAATCAGGATGCGCAGGCGGATGTGCAGGCGGATGATGAAGTGCGCCTCCACCGGACCGCCATCGGTCAGGTGCTTGCGTTCACGCTTCAAGCGCTGGCCGTCGAACCTCCGACTCAAGAATGGCACGATGTGGCACACGACCAGCTAACAACCTGGAAGGTCGAATATCTTGACGTGTTGAGAAAAATTCCCGAAACTCTCCGTAAAGACCCGCCGGCGTCTGATTATCGGCCCTCTCACTGGAAACCAGATCGGAAAATACACAACACACGCGCTCGCGCTCGCGTTCCCGCGCGTTGTCAACCGGGCGCACCTACACCGAAGCACTCGTCCACTGAAGGCAGCGGCAGTGATCAAGAATCGCATTCGCCATCTACCGCAGTCGCGTCGCGCATCCGACCGAGCCGCGGCCAAGGCAACCACCGCCAGTCAACCCGGGGAGGTGAAGGAACACGAGCCGGCCGACACCACAAACAGACCTCTCGAAAAGACGGGCCTTCTACGCGACCATACTGCACCATTGCGTGCATCCGCGGCTTGACTAACCGAGAACCACTGGATAAAAGTTTCCGCAACTGGAAACTCCACGGTGGTTCATGACACTCCATCGGACCGCAGGAGTTCACACGCCAGCTACATCGTCAACTGGCCCGAGATCGGGAGCTTGGCTTCGAACAGCTGCACGTGTGTGGTCGGACAGGATATCTCATCAAAGCCACCCTCCTTTCCTGCGGATACACGGTGATCATGAAAGCGACGACTGTGGAGAAGCAGCATCGCCTTCAAACGGAAGTGGACAATTACCACCGGCTCCGGAACTTGCAGGGACAATACATCCCTGTCTGTCTTGGGGACTTTAAGCCTCGCGTTGCATATTGGTACCACGGCAAGCTAATGGCGCAGATGATGATCTTGAGCTGGTCTGGAACGCGGCTTCAGCATGCCGTCCATGATGGGAATTCCCGCTTCTTTCAGCAAGAGCGCGACAGAGCTCTGGCCGTGCTCCGGTCGCGTGGAGTTATCCACTGCGACAGTGAGTGGCGTAATATGCTGTGGGATGACCTGAGTCGCCGCTTGGTTGTCATTGACCTGGAGGATGTGAAATGGTTGAAGCGCGCTAGGGCCCTTGAATCCGTCTCTGCGAATATGCGGCGAAGTCGTTGCGGCAGAGCGATGAAATATAAACCCGGCTTGGAAAGAGTGGACATTCCGCAACACGGCAGTACCTTAAGCTTGTAACAGTGTGATCGGAAACGTTGCAAAGCATTCCGCCACAAGACGTCGTGGCTTTAACTTACACCGAGTACTAAATACACATTTTGCAACACGAACCCTACATGTTGCAAGAGCGCGACTGCACAGCAGGCTTGGGCGGCGGAATAATCTACACGACCTTCCCAGGCTTTGCAGCTAGAGATACATCCCATCAACCATCCCCCGTTGACCGGACTCCTTCGAAAATTTTTATTCGATCCACAGCTAGCTCAAGTGCTTGGAGATCACTTGGTTGGCATCCGCCTCAGCAAGATCATGTGCGATGGCCACGATGTTTTTGATCTGGCTCAAGTTAGCAAGTGAGGGGTGAACAGCAGCGCTCTGGTACCCACCCCGCGTCCATTTAGAGCCAAAGACTACAATTGTCGAAGGTTGTCGCTCACCACAACAGGTCCTTGCGTCGTACATGCCCTGGACAGAATCGTTGACCAGAGATCTCTGCGAACTCCCTCGATAAGTTCTCATAGTCAATGGTCAAATGGGTCCGGGCGAGAATTGCATCTTCAAACTAGATACCCCGATTCAACGTCAAGAAAAAGTCTCCTAATATTCCAGCTTCCGGAGGAAGATGGTCACAAGGGGATTTTGAGTATCGTGGTAAGATGCACGCTGCTCCATGAACGTAGCAATCTCATCCAAGCGAAGCATGGCATCAAAATGTTTGTCGATCTGGGATACTGCTTCATGCTGTTGCTCAAGCGCATTCGAATCGCCGTGGTCGACTTGGCGTTTCCATCAATTATGTTGTCGAACGGTACCGTCGGTATCAGACTCAGGGTGGTTTTCGCCAATGACAAGAGCAAGGTCTTGGTTTCTGGAGGGAACGAAAAGCAATTGAATGATTCGAGTGTTCAGTGAGCAAGCGGTGTCGCTGCTGTGGGATTGCGCAGTCCTGGCTATTCATATTCTCCGCATATTGGTCGAGCTCTGCGAGGAAACGAAGGATGACATATTACTCAATCTAAAGATACTCCAGACTCCAGCGGGACCACCAAATAAAGGCTTTCCGAAGGGTCTGGTACGCCACCCTCGTCTTCGCCTCTCCTGATAGTGTCGAACTGCGCAATGGAAATCATCTTCTGGTAAGTTCCTCCCGTGATCGAATCCATGCTTCAGGCGTAGGCGATCATTGACAATGTTGGTAGGTACGTTGGCCAAGGTCCCGCATACAAAAAGTGCTAGCCGACAGAATACTTCTCTAGTTTGCGAACTATTCAAGGCGAAAAGTCTACTGGGCAGTTCTTCAGCTTTGCATCACACGTCGCCCAAGCGATAGCATCTGCATACAGCATGCAGGATCTGCGTCCGAAGGAGGTCGAGTGAGAGCATGCTCGGGCTGTTAAGGCTCAACTATGGTCTTTGTGTACACGCACTGAAGCCGACATTGGGTTAAATAACTTTTCCGCTACCCATTACAAGATACACTTCTTTTCACAGACCTTGACGTCAAATTCGAGAGTGGCCAATTCATCGCCTTTGTCAATCCATCCGGCTGCGGAAAGACAACCGTGATATCTTACTAAAGAGATTCTACAACCCTTACCAACCGATAGTTCTTATCAACGAAACCACGACTCTTCGAAAGAACCATCCGCAACAATATAATCCTCGGACTCAGCAATCCTGAGTTCACCGAGATCAATCTGATTCAAGCCTGCGAGGACGCAGATATTCACGATCCCATTACCTGCCTCCCGGATGGATAGTCGACCTATCGGGCATCAAGGCTCATTCATTCCTGGGTGAAAGACAACGATAATGCCCTGGTTTTATGCAGGTATTAGTACGCAGACCATTCCTCTACTCGATGAAGCGACATCGAATCAATCTTCACTCTAGTCCCAAAAAAAAAAGGTACAGGCAGTACTCAGGCGCTTGGCAGCGAGGAGATGTATGACGATTGTGGCAGTTACGCATATACTGGCTACTGTACCGAAAGCGGACACGGCATTTGTCTTTGGTGTAAGCCCGAGCAGATATGGGTTCAGGTCGTGGAGCTGGGAAGTCATCAGGAATTGCTACGGGATAACGAGATGTGTTGGCATACGGTGAGTATTGACTTGATTTTCTATGTCATTGTGCTTACTGATTGATTTCCAGTGTCAGGACAATGCCCTCGATCGATAATTGTATACTACGTGATGTCTCTCCGTATAGGTGTCAGTGTGTTCAGAGAATCTGTCTATTAGATGTTGCTTCATCATACCCACAGTATCATGGATTGATAGGCAGATAAAGGAACCACCCTTCTCATCTACGCTCTCTCATTATACTCCGGACGAGCCTCAGAAGCATACAACACGTCTCATTAGTCCATCTGCTATCCAAAGCCAGTCTCCTCTACTTCCCATGATTCCTAGCCATCTGCACAGTTTTCTTTGGAACGCCACGAAACTCAGCGCTACTTGCTCGTTTTCTGCTCTTGGTAAGTCTCGTCTTCTCACTAGCCTGCGCCATTAGGGCCGTACGCGAAAATTCCCCATATACCTATATAGGTCGCCAGCATCAGAAACGGGAAAGAGAGGAGGCGAAAAAGAGCCCCACGGTAACCCATACCAATCGCACACGGGACCCTTTGATCCATTATTCCTGCTCGAACACCCTTGACTGTGAGGCAGACCGGGTGTGTTGCAATGATACCATTATCGTCGGCAGAAACGTTAGGAGAGAGACCATTCGCCGGCGCTCACGTTCTGATCGCAGAGGCACAAACCCAGAGGTGCTCTCGGTATTCCCTCCTCTTTGCCTTAAACAATGATCGGTGATTGTCCGCCGGTTATTCCAGGCTCGAGTTTGCTGGGGCACTCGCTGCTGTTGTTCCTCGTTCTGGCTTTCTTCCTCCGGCTTCATAGCTGGAGTTTGCCCTTCCTGGTGGTAAAGCTGTTCCCAAACACTATTTGTTTAGTTCGATTGCAGTCTGCCATTGCGCAGTGTTGGCTGAACCACTTGGTTTTGGTCTTCCCGAAAGTGACTCTGACGGGACGTTTGAACGTGGCGGTTTTCTTATTCATATATGTACATGCTAGTTTATCTGTGTGATATTAATCTAGTATACGGTATTTAATTAGTCTTATATACTTAATCTAGAATTGAACCAACACACTCACTTCTTCCTATGATAATCTTTTATACGGCTGTTGGATATGTTTTGCTGGGAGTATTATTCATTTCTTTAATATATCTTCCTATATCCTCTAACAAGGCTTTTGTGGTGGCTGTTTGAAATCGTGTTTGCGACCGGCGGAGAAAGCAACGGGCGGGTGACAAACCAAGATGTCCGACAGTACTTCAACAGCTTCAGTGAGGCACTCAAACACCAGACCGAAATAATTGAGACAGTGAGGGCGGAGGTCCAAGAACTGAAAGCTGAACAACAGCTCCTGCGAACCCACAATAAGGAACTACAGGAAGAAATCCAAGCCCTACGGGCCAAATTGGAAGCACAACCGCTGAACGCCCCCGTGAACAGATCCTGGGCGGAAGTGGCTGCTGGCAACCCTCAGCCAGACCCAGCGAGAACCGTTCCGCGCCCCAGGAAGGAACCCAACTGTGTCCGAATTAGTACCGCACCAACCCTCGATCAAGATGTTGACAATGACCGATTCTTGAGAGCCCTGCCCACTAAAGCAGCGAACACACACATCAGGACCGCCCTGCTGAACGCGGAGACCACCAAAGAGGTGCAAGTCGCGGGCATTGGTACTACCAAAACGGGGTATGTCATTCGATTCCGGGACACCCAGTCAGCGGAGACAGCCCGGAACAGCACCGAGTGGCTGGAGGAGCTGGGAAACAGCACCAAGGTAGTGAAGCCCCGGTTTGGGATCGTGGTTCACCGAGTCCCAACTGAGGACTTTGAACTAGAAGGACACAAGAAACAGGGGATCGAGAAGATTATGGCTGAGAATGACCTCCATAACAAGAAATTCCGGGCCGAAGATATTGCATGGTTGAAGAAGAGGGACATGCCTCTAGGGAAATCAGCCTCGATGGGGGTCTGGTTAGACTCACCGGAGGCAGCAGAATGGATTATCGATAACGGATTGTTAGTGGGGCAAAGGTTCATCGGGAGCGTGGAACCCTACCGGGTGGAGAAGAAGAGGTGCCACCGCTGCCAACAATTTGGCCACCTAGCCTGGTCATGCAAGGAACGAGTGAAGTGCGGACATTGCGCGGGTCACCACGACCATCGTCACTGCTTCCCAGGAATAAGACCAAGATGCTCAGACTGCAATGGAGAACACCCAACAGGCGATCGGGCATGCCAGGCATCCCCTAACCCCAGTCCATCCCAATGACAGCAAACCTTCGCATCATACAGTTGAACATCATGAAATCGAGGGCAGGGATGGAAGCCCTCATCAACGACCATCAAAGCCAGAACCTGGACCTACTTCCGACTCAGGAACCGCCAAAGACAGCATACCACACCCATGTTAACCACAGTGCTTGGCGACTCTACCGACCGACACACCCGGAAATACCTCGGTTCCGCAACCTCTATGTCAACCGGAGGATCTCCAAATCATCACACCGCCAAATCCACTGCACTCACCCAGACGTAGTAGGCATCAAAATCTGGACTTCAGAACTACAGTACCTGGTATTCTCAATCTACATCCCGCCAATAGCGATGCATGAGCCGTTCGAAGCCAGCAGCGCCCAGGAGATACTGGAGGAAATCCAGAAAAATATCCAAGAACATACAGAGCAGAATAGCCGTACAACAAAACTTATCTTAGCAGGCGACTTTAACCGTCACCACCCTGCATGGAGCCATCGCGCGGTCCATCACCGCTTCGCACAACATGCGGAGGAACTGATCAACTTCTTTCAAGCCCACGAGCTACGGTGGTGCCTGGCCAAAGGCGACATAACATACTGGTCCCTTAATCAACCGGGAAAGACATCAGTTCTCGACCTCACGCTTACCAACGATGTAACACGCTTGATCAGATGCCAACTCTACCACGACCACTGTGGGTCAAACCACCGAGGAACATATTCGGAATGGTATCTCCAGGCAGAGCAAATTAGAAAGCCCAAACCGAGAAGGGCGTATGACCGAGCTGACTGGGCCCGAGTAGGGCAAGATATACTAAGACAGATCGACCCACCTGTGAATATTCAGTCGGCCCAGGATCTAGACTACGCGGTCAACAACTTAATCAACTTAATCCAGACCACAGTAGTTGCCCTAGACCGACATGTGCCGGTGCAGGCCCCGTGCCCATACTCGAAGCGCTGGTTCACTACGGATCTCAAGGCCCAGCAGATTGAGGTTAACCCGATCCGGCGACGGTGGCAAAACAGATGCGCCCTGCTAGGGCCTAACCATCCAATGACGAAGATACTTTTCGAAGAAATGCGGCAGAAAAGACGAGAGTGGACCAGAGAAATTGAGAAAGCAAAAGGTAGACACTGGAAGGAATTTCTTGACAAAGCCGGCGAAGGCCATCTGTGGAAAGCGGCTACTTACATGCGCCCCCGGGATACCTACATGAGCATCCCCACCCTCAAAGTAGGCACTGAAGAGGTGACAGATAACCAAGGGAAGGCAGAGGCATTCCTGCAAGCCTTCTTCCCAATGATGGCTGAACCCGAGCCAGAGGAACTGGTGAACCCCGCGGAGGAGCTACCATGGGAACCGATTACCGAACAAGAGATCTACCGGTCGCTCAGAGTGGCCAAGGGGACTACAGCCCCTGGTAGAGATGGGATCCCCACGCTTGTCTGGGAACCTTGTGGACCTACCTTAAAGATATTATCACCACGATCTTCACGAAATCAGTGGACCTGGGCCACCACCCCAGACAATGGAGGCAAGCGCGGATTATCGTGCTGCGGAAACCAGGCGAACCCGATCTCACTGCTCAATA